TCCACAGACGTAGACTCCAGTTACTTCTCTGTAAGATTGATGTAGAATATTTGGTCACGGGTAAGCGCTCCGTCCGTGGTGTGGCCCCAAACATCACTCTCCGTCATGCCCTAAAATAAAAATCAGATTTTTTGCATTTCCAGATGAACTCGCAGACCTGAGATGTGCCCCATTGGATTCCCCGTGAAAAATGCTATCGAATGATATACATTACTCCTCCCAGTTGAAACTTTGGTTTTTCACCGTTTTCAGCCTTCCCCTATTGCCGATTGGGCATCATTATTCCACTATTACTATCCCAAAATCTCAAAGTTTCATTTTTCGTCGAAACTTTGCCTATTGGGGTAATTCGATGCCCTGATTACGAATATGACATTCATTCTCGTAGTGTGGCCCCAAACATCACACCTCGCCCCATTTTTTGCGACATGTTCCATGTTTAGAGCAGATGTTATGTAGAAAGCTGTGAAGGCAGCGACGAATTTCCTTTACTGACGTAGACTACGGTCACTTGTCTGTAGGAATTACATAGAAACCTTGGTGGCAGGTGAGTCTTCCTTCCGTAGTGACCCCAAACATCACACCTCGTCATGCCCTTGCGATATGATCAGATTTTTTTGGTTCTCCAGATGAACATAGAAGACTGAGATGTGCACCATTCAATTCCCCATAAAAATACTGTCGAACGGTATACAACTCACTTTCTGGAGAACATCTAGTTTACCTGCCACTAGATCCATTTTGTGACATTTCCCAATTTTCGAAGGGATGTTTTGAGGAAATTCGAGAAGGGAGGGACGAACTCTCTTCCCTATCGTAGAGTAAGTTTACTTGTATGTTGGAAAAAGATGATACACTCGGGCTTGAGCGAGTGTTTCTTCCCTGGTGTGGCCTCAAACATCGCTCTCCGTCATGCCCTGAAATAAAAACCAGATTTTTTGGTCTTCCAGGTGGCTCTACGGATCTGTGGTGTACACCGTTCGATTCTCCATGCAAAATGCTATCGAACGATATACATCTCAGTTCCCACTTGAAACTTTCGTTTTTCACCGTTTTCGGCCTTTTCCTTATCGCCGATCGCCTTCCTCAGCCCTGGCCACCCACGTGCTATTCACGTGCGCGGTGCGTGAGAGCTCACGTGACAGCCGATGGCCTTTCTCGGTAGCTGGCGGGCAGCCCGATCGATACACCGCTATGCGTGTCGAAAGTGCGTGGGAAAGTCACCACGCACCGCGCACGTGAATAGCACGTGGGTGGCCAGGGCTGAGGAAGGCGATCGGCGATAAGGAAAAGGCCGAAAACGGTGAAAAACGAAAGTTTCAAGTGGGAACTGAGATGTATATCGTTCGATAGCATTTTGCATGGAGAATCGAACGGTGTACACCACAGATCCGTAGAGCCACCTGGGAGACCAAAAAATCTGGTTTTTATTTCAGGGCATGACGGAGAGCGATGTTTGAGGCCACACCAGGGAAGAAACACTCGCTCAAGCCCGAGTGTATCATCTTTTTCCAACATACAAGTAAACTTACTCTACGATAGGGAAGAGAGTTCGTCCCTCCCTTCTCGAATTTCCTCAAAACATCCCTTCGAAAATTGCGAAATGTCACAAAATGGATCTAGTGGCAGGTAAACTAGATGTTCTCCAAAAAGTGAGTTGTATACCGTTCGACAGTATTTGTTATGGGGAATTGAATGGTGCACATCTCAGTCTTCTATGTTCATCTGGAGAACAAAAAAAAAAAAATCGAGATCATATCGCAAGGGCATGACGAGGTGTATGGTTGAATTACATCGGAGGTGCCAGGAGTTTGAGGGATCGCTCGCACTGAACGGAAGGAAAGATCCTGGACACCTTGGAGGTTTTGCTTGATTACACGATGGGTGCGATAGGGAGACAGTCACTAACCCTCGAGTAAGCATACTCTGAATGCCCGCCAGTAAAGGCAAGGGTGTCGATACTACGTAGAGAGCCTTCACAGCTTTCTACATAACAGCTGCTCTAAACATGGAACAAAAAAAAGTTGAAGTTGTCGCAAAAAATGGGGCGAGGTGTGATGTTTGGGGCCCCACTACGAGAATGAATGTCATATTCGTAATCAGGGCATCGAATTACCCCAATAGGCAAAGTTTCGACGAAAAATGAAACTTTGAGATTTTGGGATAGTAATAGTGGAATAATGATGCGCAATTGGCAATAGGGGAAGGCTGAAAACGGTGAAAAACCAAAGTTTCAACTGGGAGGAGTAATGTATATCATTCGATAGCATTTTTCACGGGGAATCCAATGGGGCACATCTCAGGTCTGCGAGTTCATCTGGAAATGCAAAAAATCTGATTTTTATTTTAGGGCATGACGGAGAGTGATGTTTGGGGCCACACCACGGACGGAGCGCTTACCCGTGACCAAATATTCTACCTCTTTCCTACAGACAAGTGACCGGAGTCCACGTCGGTGGAGAGAATTTCTCGCTAAATCGCACGTGGCGCCAAGGGCTGGGAGGACGATCGGCAATGGGGAGCAAAAAAGTGAGAAAAACAAAGTTTTGTGTGAAACCTGAGTTGTACACCATTCGGTAGTATTTTTCATGGGAAATCGAACGGTGCACCCCTCAGCTCTGTAGAGTCATCTGGAAGAGCAAAAACTCTGATTTTCATTTTAGGGCATGACGGAGAGTGATGTTTGGGGCCACACCACGGACGGAGCGCTTACCCGTGACCAAATATTCTACATCAATCTTACAGAGAAGTAACTGGAGTCTACGTCTGTGGAGAGATTCCTGGCTATCTTCTCAGGTTTCCGCAAATCATCTCCTCTAAATGTGGGGAATGTCACATAATAGGTCTACTACTACTGCTGGAAACTGTTCGAAGATTCTCATTTGGAGTGGAAGAATGGGTTGATCAGCGCACGGTTAGCCAATTAGCGCTCTAGAACGAATTAAAGATCGTGAAATTCGAAAAAAAAACATTCATTCAATCTCACCATATGGTGGACCGGTTGGGTACGTGGCGTATTCTGAGGGTGTTGAGATCCATGTTTCTGTGGGATGATCAGGCTGCATAGGAGGACTTATATGCGCATCACATCACCTGTATCACCTGTCGTCCCGTTGATCATCGAATTGCTCGAGCGGGCGCCAGCAACGTCTCCATTCGTCCCTGTCGCGTGCAAGAGTTGTCCAGTGGACCCTCCTCGCTCGAGGGACACGATGTCCTTCATTCCTTTCGTTCAGAGCTTTCGTGAAGAAGTCTGACCATCGGGCCGGCGGTCGTCCAGGTGTTCGTTTGACGTTTCCCGACCGGATCCAAAACCGTCGATTGAACAAAAAATTAGTAGCGGTATTGTATCGCTTGAGCGTAAACGAAACGACTATGCAGATAAATACTACTCTGAGACTTTTCACCACTACACATATATCCTTTGTTCGGTAACTTCGAATGTTACAGTGTTCCAAGGAGGAAGATTCCCACAATAGACGACGGACGAAATTAACACCGATGCCCTCTACCTCCTGATAGAAGCCGGTCCTCCCCAGTTCGATAGACGTGCGTCTGGTAGCGCATCAGGTCCACCCATCAACACGCACAATCTGGCAACGACTAGACAGAACTTGTAAATTCCGGTTATCCGGATTTCTACTGGGCTAATCACCCGCAATCAGCTGCTTCATGCTAGCGCACATGAAAGAGCCTTGGTTCCTTCTTGACGAGCAATCCAGCCACTGGGGCGAGGATGCGCGCTTCCCTAAATCACAACACCACCTGCTGGGTTCGGAAGGACAGGGAAGAAGTTACTTTTTTCTTTCTTCTTTTTCTTCTTTTTTTTTTGCTCAAGTTCAAAAACAAGGTGCTTCTGAACCACAAGCGGAGCGGACCATTGGACTGTTCGCTCGATAGAAGTACAGTCCACGTCTGGCTGCCTAATATAAGTTAATTCGAGAATGCAGACGATGAACTAAAGGTTAACATGAAGAAAAAAAATATGCTCTAAAAAATTCCATTCTAAAGCTTGACAGGACAATCACGCTGCAAGGGACCCATTTCAATCATCTTAGCGCGATGTGAGTGGTACACTGAAGAAAAAAAAAGAAACGGCCCAGAACCCGAGAAATGGGACCCCTTCCTTGCCCGTTGATTTGAGCATTGATGCGACTATCATCGCTGTGCCCTCTTCAACACTACGCTCTCTCACCTATCTAATCACTCGCCACGTATAGACCTGCGGCGAGTGATCAGATGATCGGTGGGCGTGCACTGGCCCACCGCGCCAAGATTGAGCCTTAATAGGTCGCCGAGGTCAACTCCTTCGGTGCCAATTGCGCTTCAGTCCGCACCCTTAGGAGGTCCGCGGGTCCCTCAACTAGGTGAATTACTCCTTCTTCGACCTTCATTCTAATCGTGAATTCGTCCTTCAACACATTCCTACAGTTCATCTTGACGAGCTGAAGATATGCGAGGCAAGAAGGTTGGTCCAACTCAAGGTGGTTCACCAAATAAATTTGTTAACAAGAAATTGAAATACTTACCTCCATTCCGCGGAACGAGAACGATATATTTGATACTCCACCAGACACATGACATCCAGGAAGATTTTCCTAGACGCAAGAAATTAGGTAGAAAATGATCCTTTGTAGAATAAACGTATGCATGTATGTACTACTCGATTATGCTCGCCAAACATCCCCAGCCTTGGAACGGATTGGGTCAGTGGAATTGGAGACATGGTTGTATTAGTTGCTCAACTAACAAGAGTTTTACTTTGTACTGTTCTATTCTATTCTGCTCTGACGATAGTGATTGCAAAAATGTCAACTGGTCACTAGTGATCAATCCGTTCTTGAGATGTGCCATGCCATTCCACATCCATTTACCGAAGTCGGGGATGTATGCGCTTGTCCATGGGATCAATTGTTTTCCTTTCCAGATCAATAGGTTTCTGAAGTCAAGTAACCGCTGGACGATAGCCCTTTTGCAAACAGTTGTCACCCAGCAATTCCTCACAACCCTCCGATCATAGACCAAGTGTGTCCATCCTCTGGAAGACTCACCCGAATCATTCGCGTGGCATCGATAAAGTATACACCGTAGTTGGAGTGCTCTTCCATACCGGTTGCAATGGTCAAAATATTCGGATCGAAAATGATATCGCATGGATCGAAGCCAACTTCTTCTGTGAGTATTCTGCAGAATAGGAACTTCTCAATTTCTACTTATCATGAAAACAGTTCAACCGTAAATAAGTGAATTCGGAATAAAAGAAGTGGAATGAAACCGTACTGAAGTTGAGTTTTGGTGCTCACCTGTAGCTGCGCTCGCATATCTCGTACTTCCGTTGCGTTTCTGCCGCTTGCCCGTCTTCATCAAAAGCCATCACCACTACGGCCGCTCCATATCTGCGTATAAGGCGAGCCTTCAAAATAGAAAAGTCAATTTTGAAAAGGGCGACATTGGTCTTCAATCGCTTTGAAAATCTCATGCAAAAAATTGCTTTGATTGTAACCCTCATCAATAACCATATCCTGAAGCGTAGCCACTTCTTTGGTTGGCCGCTTTGCCCGCTTTCAGTTAGCAAAAGGAACAGTGCTCAGAGAACGTTAGCTTTTTTCAGATGAGGAACGTCTGCGGTCTATTGTGACGGTGCCTCACTTGTACAGTAGTAGGAGGATGCTTGATTCTCAGCCTACTTCCCTGTTGGTTCTCTTATCACACCTGCTTGGTAATGTACCCCGATTGGCGACTTGTTTATACCCCAGAAGAGACAGAAGGGTTTTTTACTTGAAGGCGGAGTTCACAACGAAAAGGCAGCCCGCTACAAATAAAGGTAGAGGGGGTCAATGATGCAAGGATGAAGAAAAAACAAGAAAAATGGCCACCAACCACTTTTGACCTGTTAATTAGCCCATTGGAGCAAGTCTCATCGGTGCTGACATCATGAGTCGGAGCACTATGTTCTGCGCCTCTGCTAAGGGGGTCCGCGGCTAGGGCCTAACAGCGAAGGGTTGGCTAGTCGGTGGGCCACGGATGCAAATGCGTATCGTGCTGCACCATAAGGGCGGAAGGAGGTCCGCCTGTTTTTCGACTAAGTATATTTTCCCTTATCCGCCTTTATCGTAGAATCCTCCCTTTATTAATAATCTGCGCAGAATAGTTAATTACAAGTTGTAGTAATATATAAGCATGTATTGACTTACACGCTCAATGAAGGCCTGTTCTCCTTCCTTGAGTGAAATTGAATTCACAATACATTTTCCTTGTACAGACTCCAACCCGGCAATGATCACAGAGAAATCGGAAGAGTCAATACAGAAGGGAACCTGAAAAAGAATCCACGGCCCTCACCAAGAAAAACACAGAAGACTTTTCGTGTGCAATCACAGAAAAGAAATGGAAATCAGCGCATGAAAAAAAATGGGTTGTAGCTTACTTTCGCCACGTCCGGCTCTGTTGCGATCAATCTCAAGAATTTGCTCATTGCATAAGGACCGTCTAGCAGGCCGTCGTCCATGTTCACATCCAGAACTTGAGCGCCGCTCTCAACTTGTTTTCTAGCCACATCGATGGCTTGCTAAAATTAGTAACGGCAATTCACATCGATAATTAATCAGCAACGGATTAACGCTCTTCTGTTTATCCAGAATCATTATGAATTGCTACGAGCGGTCCCTTGTCATCAGACTCACAGTCTGGACTTTGAGATAATATTAAAAATGGTTCTTAGGCACATTTGTTTAGCTACAATTGAAGCATAAAAGCACACGCCACTTGATCAATCCCTTTTTGGGATGCGGCACGCATTCTACTTCCATTTGTACATTCGTAGTGGCGTTTGAATGCGATGTGGCCTATACAATGACTTGCGGGGGCCAGCCGATGTACAAGTCAGTGTTTTTATCCTCCCAGACAAGTCTGGTACCAATTAACCGACCCCGGAGGGATGGAAGGCTTGGTTGGCCCGGGCGACTCACGACCCAGGATTTGATCCCCGGACCGCTCGCGTGGTAAGCAGCGCCACTTGCACTACACCATTTCCGCCCTTAGTTACAGTTGGCGAAGTTAATCATATCACAAAAACACTGAATCATGACAAATATAATAGTTCCTGTCCTGGACGACCCGTCAGATTTTTAGTTTGTGGATGCCAGCAAACCCGCCATACTATTGACCAATTTCGGAAATAGGAATGAGACCCCAATCTAAGGATTGGTAATACTGAATTGCCTAAATGTTGGTGATTTTGACTTCCACCACACCACCGGAGGTTATGCTGAAAAGGCAAGCGGCGCCACGTGCGCAGACCTTTGTCAAGTCAGATGATATGGTAAATTGTTCGAATCCGCAAATGAATGATAGAGGTGATACATGGTGCAATAGTGAACAAAAGATCAAAGAGAAAGGCTTAAATCCTTTCAAATGAACACTGAATCTCTCCCTTGATTTTTGCTTCGGGCAAGCCGACAAAAAAGAACTGGTCTTTATGGGCTTGACGATAGTGGAAATAACACTAGCAGAACTCATCCAGCACAACCACTCTTCTTTTACCATCTAGCCTCCTGGAAACGAGGCCTTTTACAAAGGCCATGGTCACCAAGTGCGGGGCCCTGTCATGCTGCTACGGGCGCCATCTTCGCCGCGAATGCTCCACGTCACGGTCTATTAAAAGCCTAGCCCCCTTTGAAGTAGGCTTGTTTTCTCTCCATCAGTATCTATGTAGTTTGTCGTACCACCTGCCTTGAAGTGACTATTGTTATTTTCTTCAATGATGTTTTCATAACTCTCGACACAAGGGTTAGCAAAAGACAGAGGGGAAAAGTTTGCACACGCACTTCGTAGTCCTCGTTCTTGATCAGCTTGCAGAAACGTCTCGATCCAGCAACGTTGCAACGTTCACCAATATTCACAAAATTCGTGAAAGGCCCAACGACCATAGGCTCAAGGCCAGAGAGTAGCATGTTGCCAGCGTTAGGATCGGGAGGTGGGCGGCGTGGAGCAACTCCCTGAAAATGAATAAAGATAACAAGTCCACATACTTTTGGAGGCGATAACTAGTATTGTATAACAGGAACTATAACAGAGTCTACTATGACTTTTGGGTCGCACATTCAGCGAAATTCCGGGGTTCCAGAATTGGGAATACTCATCGAGAAAATTTGAAATAACGGTTGTCACTACCATCATGATAGAACGAGTGTGCGATTCAAAAGTAATAATAGAATTCTGCTATGGATAAATCGCAAAATAAATCAAAATATTTAGACCGAGTGATCGGAATCGAATGGTACCTTAAGCACTTTTGCCATAGCCGCTATGTGATCTGGAGTAGTACCACAGCATCCACCAACGATATTTACCTTAAATGCACCAAATGTTATTTACTCAACCAAAGCACCTATGCAGTTCAAAAACGACACCGATAACCTATTCTAGTAATCCAAACATCATCCACCATAGCAAGTAAACTTATCAATTTGCTCACTAATCCATCCATAGCAAACTGCTTCAGATCCTTAGCCATGTCCTCAGGTGTTTCGTCGTATCCTCCCAGTGCATTCGGGAGGCCTTAAAGTTGGACATTATTCATGTACCTGCTCAATGGGGCCGACTTAAGGGCATGGGTTGCGATCAGTTTGGTGTGCTTTTTTTGTTCAAAATTGCAGGAAGTGCGATGGGAACGTTGGGGGGTGGGGGGGAGGAGAAGCAAAAAGCGCCATAGGAAACACTGGAATTTCTCCTAGGATTTCGGATTCAGTAGTATGATGGAGAAACAAGAGAAAGCGTTGTGAGAAAAGGGAAAAGGCGAGAGAGCAAATCGTGCACGAGCGAGCGCAGACACCACGCGAGCTGTAATTGACTAGCGTGGAAGCAGTCGCAGCGGTAAAATGGAAGGCGTCAGCTCCCTTCTCGCACAGACTCGAGTAGCATCAGTAACACCACCCATGTAATTAAGGGTCTTGCTAGCTCAGGAAAGAATTCCTTCGAAAATTTCCGACTTTCCTTTTTCGGAGTTCCTTAATCGAGATGTTTGGATTTCGAGGCAAATTTCCGAGAAATTTATGAAAGTTTTGGTTTCAGTATTGTAAATGCTTCTAGCTCTGCGCACTTTCTGAATTACCGAAGAATGTAGCGAAGGAGTGAAGGGGTGGGGTGGAGAAGTGGGGTAAGCTTTGGCTGACCCTGCTTACGATATTTCGCCTTGGATGAACAATCTTCGTGAAGTACTAGGTCGTGACAAGTCCACTCTTAGGGAACTTATTAACTGATTGTAGCAGTGTTCCCGATTAAGAGTGACAGGAGGGAAACCCAGCGACTTATGCGAGAAACCAAGGCTGTTGCTTTAGCCTTTCGAGCAGACAGCTATGTACTTTTACGGTGCCTGAAGCGTAAGCTTTAGCATAGAGAATGAGAGATCGAGAAGAGTCCTTTCTTTTTCGTGGGGTCGAGTGTCCTTGAATGACGTCGACGACACCAACGTCTTCCGTCGGTCTATGATAGGAAAAGGCCGACCACCTTACCGACTTCCTGAAACCACGCTAGCCTAATCTAGAAAGGGTTGCGTCAAGTGAGCATGGAGATAGAACTGTTATTGC